AAAAAAAAAAAAGAAGAAGAGATCATTCCAAGAATGCAAGGATAGTCACGGGAGTGCTCGCGCTCACCATTCCTACTTAACATTGTTTCGAAGATGTCAGTGAATAAGATCACCAAAGACAATTTCCCCCATTATTTGTACATAATATCCCCCCCCTTTTTTTTGGTCAAAACCTAAGGGGAAAAAAGAAATGATGAAAATGACAGGAAAAAGAGCCCAGTTACAGAAACAATACAAAGTGCTTTATAAAACTTGTGTGGGACTTAACTGAAGACAACTACAAAATTTCACCTTTCAACAGAGAAAAAGAAGGGTTTTGAATATATGGATATGGGTAGGCATCTGTTCTTGGCTAGGAAAAGGCAATACTATAAATGTGACAATCATTCTTAATTTAATCTGCCATATAAATATGACATTGATCAAAATTTCAATGTGAGTTTTTGTGGATGGGGGTGGGGGGACTCCCAGAGTTAAACAGTGCCAGGGTTAAACCAAAGGTGAGGATCTGTCAATTTCCAGAACTTAACAAGAGCATCATGACACAAAAGCACACAGTGCTGATCACTACAAGAATGTTTGCTCCCAGGCAGGAGCCAGGATACAGGGAGCTTACATAGCTTGAGAACAGTGATCACATATTACCTCTGGGATTTCTCTACAGGCATAGTCGATCAACCCTTCCAGCTGTTGTCAAACTAATGTATTTGGACTCAATCACAGAGATAGCCCCAGAGATCCTATGGAAGAACACTGGCATGTCTTGTGCATGCGTAGATTACAGTATTAAGACAAAGTCTAAATACTTCTATAATCTAACCCTAGCCTACCTTTCAAGCTTCATCTTCCCCAACACCTCAAACAAGTTAAAATCTTCCATGTTCCCCAATTATAAATGGCACTTAGAGCTATCCCAGCTGCCCAAGCAGGGTCCTTTCAAGCTTCATCTTCCCCAACACCTCAAACAAGTTTAAATCTTCCATGTTCCCCAATTATAAATGGCACTTAGAGCTATCCCAGCTGCCCAAGCAGGGCACCTGGGAGTCATTTCTAACTATTTTCTTTCTCTCTTTATCCCTGTCCAATCAATCACTGCTTCTGGCCAATTCCTGTCATCCATTTCCTTCCACTCCCACTCCCATCTGCTCATCCCAGGACCCTGCTTGGAAAGCTCTTCTCTAATGTTTGCTCTGACAAACTCCACACATTCTGCAAATCTTTGCTTGAGCAATGCTTCTGAGGGAGCTACCTCCCCCATTACCTCCTGGGGAGGACAGGGTCCATCAGACACCTCCCAAGCGACATCTGCTCTCCTTGTATTTCTGCACTGCAGACAGATGCCAATCATCTCCCTCTTCCAGATTTAGGAAGGGCAGGAGAAAAGCATGTTGATTATAAGACGTCCTGTGCTCTTCTCACAGGCTTTTGTTCAGTCAGACATGGACTGGCCCTCATCTTGCAGCTCTGTAATTTTTCGATTTGCACCCAACAAATGAACTTGAGCATTGCCATCACAGCTATGGTGAACAACACAGCCTCAACCGGCCAGCCCAATGCCTCCACAGAAAGGACCCTCACTGACCCCCAGGGCTACTGGAATGAAACTCTGGAGGAATTTAGGGCACTGGTAAGTTTAATGAGACCCTGGACCATCTCTTTGATTCAAATGGTTTGACATAAAGGGTTATTTTATAAAAGAGTGTGAATCATTTACCTAGTAACTACTTATTGAGCATATATATACTATGTGTCCCCAAACAGCACAAGAACATAATATACATCTAAGGAGATTACATCCCTACTCAGTGTCTATGAGTATAACCACAGACTAAGTTAGGATGAGTAAAACAGATTTTACCATTTAGTGGACATAAGTTCTTCCTCTATAAATGATGAAATTCACCATAAAATAAGTTTCACAGATTTATGTCTACTTTCTCTTCCTTCCTTCCTTCCTTATAAATATGTATTTTATTACTTTGCCTATGATGCTTTCTTCTTTATAGGCTTTCTTCCTTTACAGGCTCTCTCATATTTTAATTGCTTGGTTAATTATATCAGAGTGAGGGGAAATGGTGTGTTGGGCATTTAGAGGGTTTAAAAAATTTTTAATATAAAATTGGTAGATTGGAGAGAGGAAAAAGGAAAGAGAATTGCCAATTATATTTTTGCCTCTCAAGTCCTCACAGCAAAAACTGTTAACTCTAACCAGTAACAAAAAGTGAATTCTCTTTTGTCATTTAGGCCCCTGCTTATGACTGGAGTCCTGAAATCCAGGGAATCCTCCTCAGCTCCCTCAACTATGGCTCATTCTTGGCTCCAATCCCCAGTGGTTATTTGACTGGAAAATTTCAAGCCAAGTACATGGTTGGTACTGGCTTGTTTATTTCCTCATTCCTGAACCTCTTCATTCCACTTGGAGCTGATGCTGGAGTGGCCTTGCTCATTGTCCTTCGGATTGTCCAAGGCATAGCCCAGGTACCAAGATGTTTTCCAAATATAAGTGGAATATAGGTTCCAGAATGACCTCAGATATCCAAGAATGGATTTTTCCCCCCAGGTTATGGTATTAACATGTCAGTATTCAATCTGGGTCAAATGGGCTCCCCCACAGGAAAGGAGTCAACTCACCTCCATTGCTGGATCAGGTAACTGATACCCTAATCCCCACCTTATATGCACCGTTCAAGAGTACTCGGCCAAGATCTACCAACAGAATTAAGACCTTACTTACCAACTATTCTGTCTTCATAGTTTTTACTTTAAAGTATTAGCCTATACTATCTTTCTTAATTGTAACTGCTTACTGTGCACAAAACATTCTTGTGTTTTGCACATACTAATTTAATTTTAGCTTCAGAACAATCTTAGAAATCTTATAAATGTACATAATTGTTTTCATTTCATACATAACGAATTTGAGACACAAATGGAGTAATAACTTTTCCAAGATCACATGTCTATTGAGTGAAGGAGCAGGATTTGAACCTAGGTAGTCTGAGTTGAAGCTCATACCTTCAATCACTGTGCAACTCAGCTTTGTAGGAAGCATGCAGAGAGTCCCAACACTGGCCTTTTCACCCAGAATATCCTTGCATCTTCTGTTCAGGGTCAATGCTGGGGTCCTTCATCATCCTCATTGTTGGTGGTCTCCTCTGCCAGACCATAGGATGGCCTTATGTCTTCTATATCTTTGGTGAGTTTACATTTTTCAAATCTCAGAATTTTATGACAGAGAATTGTGGACATGATTTCTATGATGCAACTTACCTATAGTTAACGAAATCCTAATAGATATGGATGTTTACATAGCTGAAGTTGATATATTTCGGAGCTAATTGCGTTGTGAATCTAGCTGCCTTGTCAAGTGACATTTAAGCTTTAGTAGTCTGAGTGTGAAGGCATAATAACCTTATCACTTTAAGGGCATCATAACATTCCTTCCTGCTTCTAAACTGGACCCAAAGGACCCCCCAGAGTAATTTCTTTTATAAGATGCTGGAAATGTTATCTCGGTGGGACTATATTTTTAGTTGTGCTAGTTTATTTAATATATTCTTTTAAATTTCTCCTATTATTACAACAACCAGAAAATTGTGTGAATGTGACCTAACGACAGGTAAAATACTGATTGAAGTGGAGAATCAATCAGTAGAACCTGCAAGACAGGGCAGACCATATGAGGCTCAGGAGTGGACATAATACATGGAGAGATGCTGCAGAAGGTTCCAAAGAAACATGGAGTGTTCCAGAGGCAATGTTTACTACTTCACAATTTTACCTTCCTCAATCTCTGGTTGGGATCTGTCTGGCTGCTGTCAGCTAACATTTGTGTTTGTTTGATTTCCGAAACATTCTCTGAAATCCCACCTGCAAATTGCCTGATTCCTTACGGTAAGCTCCACTTGTATAATCATTAGAGGACTGTCCTCTTAGATCAAAGGTTCCTGTAACATCAGGTCAGTAAATTGGCCAGAAAAAGATGTGTGAAGATTGATTACTGTAGCACATCAACCTTCAAAGGCTCTGCATGAAAACTTAAAAAAAGCGGGTTACAAAAATTATTCAAGCAATGAAAGAGGCTGACTGTGCTCATGGTTTTGAGAAACAGTAAGCAGCATATACAACATAGAAACTAGCTAAATATTTGTTGAGTGTGTAAACAATAATCTAGCCAAATGAGAACTCTTAAGAATTTCTTAAAATTCTAAAAAGGTAATTTTAAGATGAGCCATACTTCCAATCAGTACTGATAATGTTGAGTTCCCCAACACTGTAATAATGTATATATATTAGGAAAATTTATTTTCTGATAATTTCATTTCATGTCTAGTAATTGTCTGGATATCAATTATACAATAATGATGTATTGATGCTAACTCTTAAGTATTTTGAGCAAGATAAGAGATAGATACAGAAAGTCTCAATGACATAAGGAACTTTGCAGAAACATGACTAGCAGGAGGGATGCTGATTGGCACTTTGTACAGTGAGGGCATTTTCAAGCACATGGGGCAAACACACTAATACCCTGTAACAATGCACTATAGCCTCAATAAGAGTGCATCTCAAAACCCTTTAAAACTCAGTGGTTTAAAACAACAATCATTTATTCTCAGAGTTCTGTGGGACAGCTGGGTAGCTCTGCTCTGTGTCTGTCATCTGCCTTGGACATGGATTAGCTGAAGCATGTTCTTCCCATAGCAATGGCCAAGACCCCTGAGGTCAAGTGAAAAAAACGCAGTGCTTCTTAATAACTAGGCTAGAAACTAAGCCAGGCTGTTGGCAAAAGCAAGTTACGTAGTCAAGGCCAAAGTCAAGTCATGGGCAAGTACCCTCCACCTGGACCATGCAAGGAGGAGTGGAGTAATGGGGCCAGTCATTCTGTCAACCACAGGAATCATCTCAGGGCAGAGTCAAACTGAAAGAAAAACTCCAATCCAGTGCTAACTGGGTCCTCTTTTCCTAGGTGGAATTGGTTGTGCCTGTTGTCTCCTCTGGTTTCCTCTAGTTTATGATGACCCTGTGAAACATCCCTTTATCAGCCCTGGTGAGAAGAGATACATAGTGTGTTCACTGGCCCAGCAGGTACGTTGAGGAAACCCCCTGCCATTGCCTTATGTCTGTCTGAGGCCTCAGAGGTGAAGAGTGCAGCGGAGCATAGCTCTTGTTTTCTGATGGAGGGGATATTCGCATGTGCTTTCTTTCAGGACCGTTCACCAGGCTGGTCTCTTCCTATTAAGGATATGATCAAATCCCTACCACTTTGGGCCATTTTAGTCTCTTATTTCTGTGAATACTGGCTTTTCTATATTGTGATGGCATACACACCAACATACATCAGCTCTGTACTTCAGGCCAACCTCAGAGATGTAAGTAATGAGATATAAGCTCATTCTATTCTTGTTTAAATGTTTCATTATATAACCCTTTGTCTCTCCCATGGCCACAAAATAGGAGGTTAGGCCCAGGATCCCCACATAGGAAATGTAATCCGTTCTGATTGATCTCAGTGTGATTTACTGTTTATTGGAGCAGGGCGGTATGGTTCTATGTTAGCTTGATATTCATAGAACGTCATGTTTTTAAGGGACTTATGCAAAAATTTTATACTCAATCCAATCAACATTTGCAAACAAGACACTCTGCTGGGCAGCATAATAATAAAGAATGGAAAAACAAATTCTGACTTTGAGAAAACTGCGACAGAGAAACATAACATATACTAAAAATAAAACATTATTAATAGGACATAAAGTTCCAAATAGGCCATATTAAAAAAATTGTGGATAATTAAAAGAATATATATTTTATTCAAGTATAACCATATATAGAGAAAAGTACATACACGTGTCCAGCTTTCTGAATTTTCATAAAATGAACAGATACTCTGATTGGCTGACAGGAGCCTTTCAATTCCTGCTGGATGGATGTCTTAAAAGTGGCAAAAAAGTGTATCAGATGTCATAGCCTGTTAGTGACAGTTCACGAGGCCACTGAATTACTATTACACTCTCATCCTTTGTACTCAAAAAAACAGCCTTCTCATATTGATTGGGCTCCTCTGGTGAAAATGTGCTAAGTGGACAACGGAGAGCTGACCTTCTTAGCAGTGGTCATAGTTGGGGAGCCTGCATGCAGACAGGCTGCAGGGACTGAGATCAGAAAGCCCAAGGAGTGGCCTTCTGGGTCTTCCCAAAGGAGGAGGAGGGCCAGAAGCAGGCAATGAAACCAGAACCTGAAGCCGGGAAATCAGGGGACAGGAGGGCCAGACAGGCAGGATGCTGGTGCTGAGCAATGGACATCCTGAGGCTGACTCTTGGGAATGATTTGTCTCTGATGTGAGGCTGGGTGGGCTCATCACCCTCAGAGGCCAAGGCTGAGGAGGAGAAGGACAGGGAATGAGTGGAGAGACAAGTTGTGACCAGACAATAGAGCTTCTCAGCCCGGAAACTCCAGAGACCTGTACCTGTAGTCTTGCTGTTCTCAGGACGTTTTCTCACTAAGTCATGTGACCTTGATGGTCTTGGTTTACTCATCTGTAGAATGAACAGCTTGGACCAGGTCGGAGCTAAATCCTTTTCATCACTTGGATTATGCACAACAGAGAATGGTTTCCTTGAATTTTCTTTAAAAGAATGTTAATTTAGAGTTGAATTGATAGCAAGGTTCAACATTTAAAAAACTATATAAAAAGGTAAAGAGTGAAAAATCCTATTCCCGTTCCTGTTCCTAAGGACTACCCTATTCTTCTGGCCCACTCCAGAGGTAACTCTTCTTTAGTTTCTTATATATTCTCCCATTGTTTCTTTATGAGAATGCAGACATACAGGAATGCATATCCTTATTTCCCCAACTTTTCTTTTTACATAAAACATTATTTGCTATATATGCTACTATGCTTTATATGCTAGGTTTTTGTCAAAATATATCATGGGATCTTTTCATATCAGTACATGAGATCCTTACTGAGAGATATTTGGGTTGTTTCCAATTTTTGAGCAATGCTGCAGCAAAAACCTGTTTATTTGTCATACATCTTTGCAACTATTTCTGTGGAGTAAATTTCTGCATATTAGATAGTTGAGTCAAAGGATAAATGCACTATAAACTCTTACATTAATTGTCAAATTGCCCTCCCTAGTGCACCAGTAATATTTGTGAATGGCTAATTCTCCACTGTGTCACTACAGAGCCTGTCAGAAAACTTTTGTATTTTGGCCAATTTCATCCATGAAAAGTAATATCTCACCGTAGTTTTATTTTGCATTTGTTTCAATATAAGTGAGGTGGGGTACCTTTTAACATGTTTAAAAGCTACTTATTTCCCTTTTTTCTGTAAATTATCTGTTCATATATTTTGCCTATTTTTCTACTGGGTTTTGGTCTTTTAAATATCTATTTCCAGGCAGTCTCTCTATATATGGAAAGAGCATTCACCCTTTTTTCACAAATTGAGCTATGTGCATATTTTTCCCCAGACACTAAAAATTATATGGCTCATTCCAGTAACACAGAATTAGTATTAAAAGTCATGTGTATCATATATAAAGAAAAGCCATAGATTTGGACAGTCCATCCAGGGATCAGTCTTGCCTCATGGTGGGGGTGGTGAGGGCAGATGAATCTCACGTCATCTCCGGTCCTTAGAGTGGGATCCTATCAGCCCTGCCATTTGCTGCTGGCTGTATCTGCATTATCCTTGGAGGTCTATTGGCAGACTTTCTACTCTCAAGGAAAATCCTCAGACTCATCACCATCAGGAAGCTCTTCACTGCCATAGGTAAGTGCTAAGCTGGACACAGGGGTAGATTTGGGAAGCTCAGGTCAGCTCCCTATTCACTCCGTGTTTGTCCTTCTGCCCCAGGGGTTCTCTTCCCATCTGCGATCCTTGTGTCTCTGCCCTGGGTCAGATCCAGCCACAGCACCACCATAGTCTTCTTGGTACTGTCTTCTACCATCAGCAGCCTCTGTGAAGCAGGAGCCCTTATTAACTTCTTGGATATTGCTCCTCGGTAGGGACCCCTTTGCCTCATCCTCACAGAAGCTCAGTTCAGGTCCAGCAGCCCTAAACTTGCCCTGACACACAAAGTAAAAAGTGACACGTGCAACAGGTCACAGGAAATGTCAGCACCAGCCCTTCGTCCAAGAAATTCCTGGAAGGGACCGGACGCTGGTCAACCAATGTGAGCTTAATTTTTCCAGGTGTGAATGAGAGGTCAGTGGCCACACTCCAGCTCAACTGGGGGAGACTCACACAAATGTCTCTCTGTTGAGGAATGCAGCAGTTACACAGGGCTGGATCACTAAAAGGACTCCTCAGTCTCTACAGGGCATGCTCATGTAAGGCTTTAATAAGGTAAAGGATACACTATCGCAGGAGAAACGTTTATCTCTGATATAGGTAAACAAGAGTTGAGTGAGACTTCCAAACGTAGCTCTCAGGGTTCTGTCATAGTCATCAAGACATACCTCATCTTCAGATAATGAACCACCAAGATATGTGGGAGGGAGCCAAGCCTCATCCAATGAGGGATCTTTTATACCCAAGGAGGGTATTTTATACCCCAAAACAAGGGCTACAAGATCAGGCTCAACAGGAGAAACCAAGAAAACATAGAAACCATTGCAAACCATCGCTGCATATTTTGTATTAACAATGTTGACAGGTGAGTACAGGTTACCCCTTGGAAATCTCAGACTCTAGCACAGGATTATATTAATCATCAGTCAATACATGACATTCAGGCTTAACCAAGGGTCAGCACAATTCCAGGCATCGACAGAGTTGCAATGGACCGGCTAAGACTAACCGTTTGCTTACATGGGAATGTTTCCCTCTCTCTCTCTCTCTCTAAGGTACGCTGGCTTTCTAAGGGGACTATTGCAAGTCTTTTCACACATAGCAGGAGCCATCTCTCCCACTATTGCTGGATTTTTCATCAGTCAGGTAAGGTCAGATGTTCTGATGAATATTCATAAGAGAAACCGATAGTGGGCACCCAGTAGAAGTCAGACTAAGGGTATTTTTGTTCTCTTCTCAATGTGGCTTATCTCCAAACTCAAGAGTCCTGTGCAGCCCACAAGCCCTCATACCCACCCTAGGCTCAGCTCATGCAGGAAAATCACCACAAGCTTGGAGCATGGAGTGAGGGGGAATTCTCAGTGATATAAGTTTATGCTTTATGAGTTCTTACAAGATGAGCTTCTCATGCTGAGCATCAAATTTTCTAGCTATATTGATAGCATTTCTCCTAGACTGGCCAACCATCCTGGTTTGCTTGGTACTGAGGGGTTTCCCGGGATGTGAGACATTCAGTGTTAAAGCCTTGAAAGGTCCAGGAAAACTAGGATGAGTTGGTCACTCTACATAGGAACCCAACAAATATTTACAAAATGAATGAGCAAGATGCTGAGTGAATGACAGCGTGAAGAAATGACTGCACCTCACATGTATGCTCACAAATGGTTGGTACAGAAACTCCTCTGATTAGTGTTTCTTGCATGGTGTTTTTATATAGCCTTCCATCCCACGAGATGCACTTAAAGTTATCAAACAAATTCACCTGATGACTTGGTCATTTTCTAAGCATCTTAGTGATATAGACATTACATGACATTCACATGAGTATCATTCTTTAACTTTCCTGTGGTTTTCCACCAATAAGTCAGAAATATGAATGGAGAATAACAAAGAAAGGGTATTCTTTATGAAATCAAGTCCCCCCTCTTTTTTGAAGGTGCAGTTCCCTTCCAGTCACTTACTAACACTGTCAGGAAATGGCTGTTTAAAATGGAAACTCTCAAACTGACCTTGTTTCTCCTGTCATTGATTGATTGATTGATTGGTTTCTTCATTCATTCATCCATTCATTCAATAGATATGTATTGAACATTAGCATGTGCCATGAACTGTTTTAAGTGAATAAACAAACATAAGTCCCTCCCCTTGTGAAACCTGTATTGTGGGAAAGAAACTGACAGAAAACTAATGAAATAAGTAAAATATATGGTATACTGACTGGTGGTTAAGCTCTAAGAGAAGAGGAGAATAGGACACATAAGAGGGGAAGAGGGAGTGGAATTTCCATTTAATAGGGTGTTCAAGGAAGGACTCACTAAAAAAGTAACATTTCAGGAGGGACTGGAAGGAAGTGAGGGAATGAGTGAGCCAAACGGGTGTCAGAGGGGAGGAGCACTCCAGCAGAGGGAATGGTCAGTGCACCAGCCTATGGCAGAAATGTATGTGCCGATTCCAGGAACAACCAGGAAGCCCACAGAGGCTGGGGCAGAGTGGGGGGTGGGGGCGGTAGGACATGGAGCCAAAGCCTTTCTGAACCAGGGACAAGAACTGGGAGACTGTTAATAACATATAGTTTCCTGCCTCCAGGATTCAGAGTTTGGTTGGAGAAATGTCTTCTTGCTTTCGGCTGCTGTTAACATCTTGGGCCTGGCCTTCTACCTCATCTTTGGCCAAGCAGACGTGCAGGAGTGGGCTAAAGAGCAGACATTCACCCACCTCTGAGCAAAATGAGCAACGTGTCAGATCCTGAGGCTGAGTGGGTCACTGTTTTCCCTCACAGACATTCCCCTTTCATGCCTTCTTGATTGATTAGCCATCTAATTGGAATCGACTTTGTTTCCAGTGTCTTCTCAGAGACCTTGACTATGGAATCCTGAAGATATTACCATGCCTGGGGATTTTATAGGGGAAAGTAAGGCTAGTTATTTAACTGTGAGCTCCTGAAAGCACAGGTACCTGAATTTCTATGAGTTCTCTGTTCTTTCCACCGTTTTCCTGATAAAAGCATCAGAGGCTGGAGGACAATTTCTCACCAAAGCAAAAGAGGAATGCAGAACCACAGGAGTGAGAACTGAGACTCACAGGGGGAGCTGTGCCCAAACATCCAGGAGATGAACCCTGAGAGCTGTCATCAAAAGAAAGCCCCAAACAGGGCCGGCCCGGTGGCGCACTGCTACAGTGTGCCGCTTGGGAGCGCAGCGGCGCTCCCGCCGAGGGTTCGGATCCCACATACAGACCGGTTCCCACTCACTGGCTGAGCGAGGTGCGGGCGCAACACCGAGGGTTGCGATCCCGTTGCCGGTCCCGGTCTGGTACGGGCGCGACACTGAGGGTTGCGATCCGTTGCTGGACACAAAAAAAGACAAAAAGGGAAAAAAAAAAAAGAAAGCCCCAAACAATTGAAAGCATCATGTACACAATCCAAAGTCTTGGGCCAGGAGGCCAACACAGGTGGAGTAGCTCTTGTATCAAGTAAGGAGGGATAGAAGGCCATTCTGAGGCTTGGCATGAAGGATCCTATGTGAAAAATGACAGGGAGGAAAGGACAATAAAGAGTGAATCCATCATGACAAGAGGAATGAACATTCCCACAACTAATGTGGGTGGGGTAGTAGACTTCAACTCTTCCAGACAACTTGCCTTCCATGGATGCCGGCTTTTGGAATCTGTAATACCTGCACTGCTCGGGCACTCTGCAGTCAATTCTCTCACAACTGCCTTCTCTCTGGCCATCTTGACTTTGGCCCCATGTCTAATTTGTGGATCTGTGTAGATCCTTTGCATCTCAGTGAATGGACATTGTCCAGTTTCTCTCCTGTCCCCTCAAACATTCCTTCATGCTGTCACTTCTATCTCAGCTGTCCCTTTTCTGTCCCTCTGACTGTAGGAATCTGACCCACCATTCAGTGGACCTCATTCAGTGTTCACCTCGTCAACCTATCATCCAAAAATGTATGTTCAACTCATGCTGTCTTGATCCAAATCCAAATGTCTGGAGAGTGTGTTTGGTATGTCTACTTTAATTATGTCCCCATATGGGCAGCATGAGATCATGAAAGAGTGCAGAAACATTCAAACACAAAATGAATATTAATGAGCACATACCACGGGGGCATGGCGGAAATCAAACCACACACAGCTTCAAGGAGCTTGACAACTCAGGCAGGCAGGCTTTAATCAAAGTATCACACAAATAAATGTGCAATGACAACTGTGGAAAATGAAATAATGAGGGGTACACTGAGCTATGAGAGTGCATGATAAGGGCATGTGCACTATTCTGAGGGTGGGGAGGGGCACCACCACAAAGTTTCAATTGAGTTGGGATCTGAAGAACAATAGTTACCTGGTGCAGAGGCTGGTGGGAAGAATGTTCTAGGAAGAAGGCACAGCATAAGCAAAGGTTTGGTGGCAGGAGGGAGCAATCAGGTGTGGCCAGAGTACAGAGCCTAAGGGAAGCATGGTCTGTAAGGAGGCTGTAGAGTATTAAGGTCAAGAACACACAGGGCACTGTGGGCCCAGTGAGGTACGTTGGTCTCTTTATCTTGAAATCAGTGGGAAGTGTTTTAGTGGGAAGGGACTAATACTGAGAGTGGAAGATGTCCAGAGCGACTACTAGGTCTGGGTTTGCTACTAGATCAACAGTGATGCCTTTCACAAAGACAGCAATCATACTCAGTGAAGATGACAAGAAAGAAGATGAATACATGGGTCTGGATTTCACTTGTGAGATGTGGTCTCCAGTTACAAATTTAGGGATCATCTAGATGTAGGTGGTGATTAAAATTTTTAGCATGGATGAGATTGCCTGGGGTAACGATATGGTGTAAGAAGGGAGATCCTGGGAACAAACCTTAAAGAACTCCAATATTTAATGGTCAGCTGGAGGATGATGATATGAGAGAGACAGAGAGAAGAAAAGGAGAGAGAAAGAAAGAAAAAAGAGAGAGAAAGAGAGGGATGGAGGGAGGCAAGAAGGAAGGAAAGAAGAAAGGAAGAAATAAAAGGAAAACCAAGAGAATATGGTGCTATAAAACGGAAGGGAAAAGAAAATGTGTTTCAAAAAGGAGCAAACAATCACCAATATCAAATTTTCAAAGATCGGGCCAGATGAGGAGTGAGCAGAAAGTGGAGAAAGGGGATGATTACAGAGAAGTTTGGGTGTGAAGGGGAGGAAACACACAAGAGAGTAGCTGCAGAGGATATGGGATCAAGGAAGGAGTTTAAAACGAGCATGTTTCATGAACTGTGAGTAGGACCTAGATGAGAGAGAGAGAAGTCACATATGCAAAAGAACAAAAGCATTAACAGAAAGTTCCTGGGGTGGAGGAAGAATGTTGTAACCCAATCACAGAAAGGAGGATGATGAAAGATGGAGTGAAGACAGCTACTGCCTTTTTACTCGATGGCCCAAGATCATGCCCATGTCTGCTAGCAAGAGACCCAGGGAGGGTTTTGTATTGTGTATCTTTCCTCCTACTTGAAAAGGAATGGGGGGACTGGCAGTTTGTGGAGTAATAAAAAGGTCTGAAGTGCTCTTGCCAGGCCAGGAAAGAGCAATCTGGCAGAGACACCCTACAAATTGCCAGGCAGGGTGATCACCTCCCACAGAGACCTCGAATACCTCACATTTTTCCTCAACTGCTTCATTTATGATAGTTTCCTCTACCCAATCTGAGTGTAAACTCCTCAAGTTCAGGAACCATGACATACATTATTTTGTAACTATTCAACATAAGAACTGCATCTTGTACACAGTAAGTGCTAATGAATGCTTGTTAAATTACCGTATGAATCAATGAATGGATCGGTTCTGGGTGGTATGGGAGACCGGTTAGGGGAGAAATGGATGAGAAGAAAAAGGACCCTATTTTGACTCAGTTTTTCTTTAATTCCCTTTGTTTTCAGAGCACAGAATTATCTAAACCTATGGATTCTTACTCCATCTGGTATTAAGAGAGTGAGAGACTGGGTCTGCTCCATATGATTTCTCCAGCAATCACAGAGCCAACTCAGGCTCTCATCAGTGACAATCAAATCGTTGCCCACCAGGGCTCAGGGTCTCTTGCTTGTATCTGAGCCACACCATATCTGCATTTATTGATCTCCTTTCCTTCCCTGGACTTCTTTATTTCTTTCAAATCTGTCTCTTTTAGTTTCTTCTGAAAACAAGTTTGATTTTCCCTGGGCCTGCCAAAGAGGGAGCTGACTTGTATTGCTTCCTCAGGACTAATGGGTACAAAACTAGGCTACTTACCCTAGGTGCACCATTGTGCACTATAGACATGTATTGAAACAACACACTGTACCCCACAAATATACAAAAGTAAATGTTAAAATTTTTTTAAAAATTAAAACTAAACAACGAAAAAACAAAATAGGCAGTCCTTAAAGTATAGAAATCTAAAATTTTCCGCTGGCCCACACATCTACAATACGAAGGAATAAAACTTGAAAATTGTGGAAAAGGTCTTTCATGAAGTTGTGGAATAAAATTTTGTCTTGAGCTTGTTTATTGGTTTAATTAACAACCACTTATAAAGCCACTGATGCAAATAGGAAGACAGACATAAATAAACATGTTTTAAAATTCAGGCATGTTTCATGCTGCAAACAATGCATGTTACAAAAGAGATACACATAGGGTGTGCAGGGGATAAAGCTGGCCCCCAGGAATCCTCATACCACCTTTTTCCTGGTGCTGGTGACTGTCCCTCAGCCCCAGCATGTGAGCTGGTCCTCTTCCCTTCAATAAGGAGGTCAATTCTCAGGCTCTCCAAGTGCTCTGTTTTACAGTAAGTTTTGTAGAGAAAGAAAAAAAGTGCACACAGATGTCACTGGTGTGTCCTTGTACCCAGAGAACATAAGAAAGCTTTTCAGCATTTCAAAGGGATGGTCTGGTCTAGTATATCTTTCTCAAGTCATCTTCCTTGCCCAGCCATAGGTTATCTTAGGCATTTCTTACACTTCTCTTGACATAAAAATAAATATGACTGGTGCAAGTTTATCATCCTTCCTCTTCCCTACTTTCAAAATTCTCCATGTAAAAGGTCCAAACAATTCCAACATTTTGCTAGGTCCAGGCACATGGTATGAAACCATCCATCAATTGCTCTATATCTATGCTGTATCCCAAACAGAACAAAACAAAGCGAACAAAAATCACTGTGGAAACCAGTGGGGTTTGGAACTCAGTTTGATATTGCTGTTCTCTCTAATAAGAATACATTTTATCCACAGCAATAACAAGACACACTTTTTACAACTTTCACTAAATTCCCACTATTTGTAAACCAATTTGTTACTAAGAAAACAAAAATTAAACCTCCCTTTGTGATCCTGCACCAACCACATACACTGGCCCTTCTCAGAGGCATCACCAGTCCCCTCAAAAAACAATTATTGTGACTAGTTAGCAAACTGGACTGAAACTGGGCTTGACCTGGTTAGCAAGTGTCCAGATTAGCTCCTCTGATATCATTTTCTCCAACACCTGAGAAGGGCAAGTGGCCAATAAATTGGAACGCCTATCTGGGATAATGAAGAGGTAGGCATACATTATCTTTCCTCTGTATTTAAAATTTTTATTCCTGGGCCGGCCCGGTGGCGCACTGGAGAGTGCGCCACTTGGGAGT